TAAGTTTGTCCAAGTTTGATTTGGACAAATTGAGTTGGCTTGATATTGGCAGATGTCTTTGAGATTGAACAAAGCCTTGGTTTCTGCAATGCCTTAGTCAACAACGGAGCATGATACCTCAAAGACAACCTTTCATCTGTCAGTTTCTGGTCATGAAGGAAGCCGTATGCAGTGCATCATTGGTCACTGAAGCTTGTAGAACATGTCACAGTTCTTTATTGCTCAGCGACATTTTTTATGAAAAAGATTGTGAAGGGGGTATTTTTTTAGGATTTATGCCCATAGGCGGTTATAATAGTATAAAAAGTAAAACCAAATTGGAAAAATAATGTAATTGTTGCTGTCGCTGTGTAAAGTTCTGATGAAAAATAATCTTATTTCAAATGAATGTTGTTTTCTAAATGACAGCTGATATCTGTTTACGAGATTGTTTTACTTCCTGTTAACTTTATGTGGGAATCATTGAATTTGAGTTGATAATCACATTTCAAAACATGTGTAATTAGTTTCAGAATGGAGCTGTGTGTTTACTGGGGTAAGAATTGATTTTGTGTTATTCTAACAGAAGGGGCTCAATGGTTTGTGCATCAGCCCACGATGCACCAGGTGAGGTTCACTTCTCCACATATTGTACCAGACTAAATGTAGACCACTTGGTTGTCCTGCTGACCTGCTCTCGACCAAGGAGTGGTGTACAAAGATGTACATCTGCAGCTGTTTGTTTCAAGATAGCAGACACCACTAAACAATAAGCAGTCACAGTAAACTGTTGGAGTGAGTAAGTGGATGAGTACGGTTTTACGCCGCTTTTAGCAATATTCCAGCAATATCACAGCGGGTGAAATGGGCTTTACACATCGTACCCATGTGGGGAATTGAAACCCAGGGCTTCGGCATGATGAGCAAATGCTTAAACCGCTAGGCTACCCCACTGCCCCTGTAAACTATTGACTTAGCATTGAGTTCCTGAGAAAGGGTGACCTACATTAGAGTGTGAATGAGTGAGTTGGGATTAACTCTACTCTAAACAATACTTCATGTCAGATTATACCCACGTACACAGGTATGGTGCTGACAAACCCAACATCATATTAAAGACCTATTTAATTTTAAACCCACAATCACTGCATCCTGGCATACTCAAGAGATGCAACTCTGTGTGCAGTGAATTGTAACACCTATGGAAACTCAGCTTCCCGAGCACCCTCAGAACATAAAAATTTAATTCAAAGAAATGATACGACAAACAAAAAATAATTAGTTAAGCCTTAAGCTTAAGCATCTTAAAAAACAGAATTGACCTCTAAAGGACTAATGTCGCCCCTAGCATCCTGATGAAGAGATGGATGTGGATGCTGGTACAGACTGTTTGACTGACATCTGATCAACTTGGGCCTATCAGGATCTACTTGCTGGATCATACTAAAACAATCATCCAGAAATTCTTTTTGGGACCCGAAACCAAAAATACTGAAATGAATATACGAAGAACAGAGTCATATTACTGCCCCTTAGATATGATTGGTAGGGAGAATGTTTCTGCCTGCCTAAGTGAAATATTGTTAATTGCATTCATAGATTAAATTGTTGCCCTGTGGTAATTCCTTGATGAAAGAGTTTATTTGCCGTGAACATCAAAGCTGCGAGTTTATCAGAATCGCAAGCAAGGCTTGTTATGATTTCCTTTGTCATGGTGGATTGTTCATCTAGATTGTCCTCATACAGTTGCAAGCTTCTTTATCTACATTGATAGCTGCCCAATCAATAATTCATTAATCGTGATTGTGTTGGGGAATGTGTTTATGTGTGACAATGGGTTGTAAAGTTGGAGGGGGAAATTCTTACGTTTTGTGGTTTATTTATTGTACTGATTTGGACACTTCATTTGCAAGAAAATAAGTTATGTTTTGAAATAATGAGATCTAAGCAGACAAATATACAAACTATTTATTGTCACGCTGCCTCTGTTGTGGGCCTTGTATGGATCACAGGGATACGGTGGAAATATTGCTGCTGATGATGGAACCCATGTTCTTTTAAAAGTTGTCTTTAATATTTTGTTGCATTTATGGAGGTATAAATGTAAAAATCTAGTGTGAATACTGTGTGTCTGTGTAGCTTAGTGGATTTCAGCAAAACTTGTACACCGGTTATTACGTTATAAACACTAAGACATATTGAAGTCCATTCTTATAAATAGATATGTCAGCAATGATAACTTCGTAGACTTTCTTTTTCAATAATTGATACACACAAAAATGTAGACAAAGCTACAAAATCAGCAACATCTTTCAGCGCAATAATGCAACCAGTTAAGAAACAGTAATCCATTAGTGCCGTGGCCTGATCTTTTTTTTTGGTGTATGGAAACTTAAATGAAAAAGGTATTGCTTGGTTGGCCAATCTAATGCCAAAGAATCACTTGCGGTTTATTCATTTAAAAGGACACAGCCGCCTTAATTGTCCACGTTTCCAGATGGCTCCACATTCTGTATACAGCGCAACTTAGGAAATGTGTCTGACACGTGAAACATGTGAAACACATGACCACATGACATATGAAACACATGAAACACATTTCTTGATATTAAAACTTTAAAAAACAAAAGTGTTACCTAGCGACCATTTGAAGTACCAATCACCAACTTGTGTCGCCTATTAGGATCCCGTGTGAGAATCATGTAGTTCCACTGCCTGGCTGCACTAGTGTACCATCATACTCCAGCTGCAGGGTCAGTGTCACCTGTTGACCTCTGGTGTGCTGCAGGTGACGGCAGTGCCCCATGCTATTACAGACTTACTATGGAGTCTAGTCCCAACCAGCCAAAACCCAACTTTACCACCAAAATAATGCAAGTGTCGACCCCTGGTTTAAAATGCATTATGAATTCATGCGAGTATCCCTAATAAACTTTAAACTTTAAAAACTTATCCGCAAATAAAAACACCAATGCTATTGACTTAGAATTCAATGATATAGTATTGGGTGATAGCAGTTGGATTGAATAGTATGATCACAACCTTATCTTCAACTGCTTGACATGTGATCTATGAAATTAGAAGCAGAAAACTCCTGATAAGGCATATTCAAATGAAAGAAGTTAGGTCTTGGACAAAGATTGTTCAGGTTGCAAGGTTTGTGACATGAGTTAGCGCCATCCTCAGTTACACTGAACATTTTGAGCGTTGTTATGTATGTCATAGTTTCTGCCCATGTGCAGTGACCTGACCTGATGATATTCTGCAATATGTCCAGATAAACATGCATCATTGTCTCCGCCCATGTGCAGTGAACCTCACCTGATGATATTCTTCAATATGTCCAGATAAAAATGTCATTGTTTCCGCCCATGTGCAAGCAAGGGCCACTCACAATTTTCGCATTAATTTCATGATTTACAGTATTTGTTGTAAGTCAAACTACAGAACAATACAAAACACATAGCTTCGCAAATAATTATGGGCTTGATGTGAGAGGAACTCCTTACACAGCCTGGCAGCTCCCCTGCACTCAGACTCCCGTAGACATAAGAGATATAACTGACACAAGGCATTAAATATAATAACATATAAGGTGTAGGTGGGAGAGTGCCGATTTTTACTGTCAGCCACCAGCAACATGTGACAACAGCAAAGTTCTGCCTATGTTCTGATTGGCTAATAATCACGATAAGGTGTCATGTGACCCAGAGGACAATCGCATCAAAAACAGACAGACAACAGATTTATTTAAAGTCTCCTCAACAATAAAGTGGATCCCAGCGACGGTGGTATCGTAAATGATGCATTGCAGTAGAGAAACTTTATGGCTTAATAAAATGGTAAAATCAGCAACATGTTAATGCCTTGTCAAACAGCAGCTGTTTGCAGTGCACTAACAGACAATCAGTTGTCAAGAAAATACTAGGTGTTCTCACACATAGTATTTTCTTGACAACTGATTGTATTCCCAATATTCCTTGAACAAACATCACAAGTGTTGATTTGAGTAAAAAGATTCTTTGGTGATGTCGAGAGGATAATTCTGCAAAATAATTAAAGACTAAAACAACAGGCATCCATATTGCCTCCAAGGTTTTGTGAAGATAATCAGGTGTGAATGAATGCATTATTACAAAATGGAAAGATGATTATACTGAAACCTGACAAAGTGAAAAGAAAATTATCAAAATTTGAGAAAATAGGTTTTAGATTATGGGTCAGATCTCTTTTCTGATTATGAACATGATGAAACCATCCTGAAAAGGTAGGGATGCTAATGACTCATGTGTTAAAACTGGTTGATTTTATTGTGTTTACTTTTGAAACTTGACTATATTTTGTTTGTGGATATTTTGGATGTGAGTTAAAACTCATGTGGGGGGCACGGGTGGCTCAGTCGTCTAAGGCGCCGCGATTCGCTGTGCAGAGTTGCGTCCCCTGGACACGCCAGAAACCTATGATTGTGGGTTCGAATCCCGGTTCGCCCCGATTATGTTTCTAGGTTTGTCAGCACCATACCCGTGCTCGTGGGTTTCACCGAAGTGGTAAACGTCTAAGACCTGCATCACTTCGGGCTTTCCTCCCACATTAAGCTGACACGCCGTGATATAACTGGAATAATGTTAAAAGCGGCGTTAAACCAATCTCACTCACTAAAACTCATGTAAACCAACATCTTGGAATAATGTTTACTAATTATGTTTACTTATTACAAATAATTCATCGGGTTTATTAGAAACAAATTGGGATGAATGAAAATTAACAAAATTAACCCTGACATCTAGCTACCTCGATATGCAACCAAACATTGTTTAAACCAAGTTTCAAAATTCACAAGATCAACCACATTGAGATTTTGTAATCTTAAATCTGATGCAGTTTCATCTTTGAAATTATGGATTAAAAAAAGAGACAAATTTCAGTCAATGCATCAATATTTTCTCACAGTGACCTCTCTTAATTTTTCCTTCATCAAGGCTACTACTAGTGAACATAATCCAAATAATCTCCATTCTTACCTGAACAAGGTGTGACATTCCACGATCACCTGTCTCTTCTAATCAAGAGTTAATCACTCAACACATTCGTCAATAGCTAGTCCAAGCAGGTGATATAGCGAATCAGATGTTACCTCCAAGCCCAGTATCATAGCATAGTGCTTTACAAGCTTTGTGAACCATCCAAGCTCGTACTCGATGAATTGATCAGTAAAGTGACGCCACTGACTGCAGCCTCCGAATCAGCTCCTAGCACGATGGCATTGCCAGTGTCCGACAGTGCTCGCTAGTATATCCTACCTTTTGTAATGCAACAACCGCTGCTGTTGATTAGAAAAAATCTGCGGGTAGGCTGTATATGGGGGAATGGGCTTGCGGCTCACGAGAAAGCAGCTAACAGCTCGGAAATCAATCGCAAATGAAATTCATCTACACTAAATCAGAAAAAGCTGCACTTGTTGGGAATAAAGCTTGCCATGAAGTCCCTACTTGGGTTCTCTGGGTTTTGGTGCGGTAAGAGGACGGGAAAACACTGCATGGTTTATTTTCAAGCTTGATACAAACTGTTAAAAGACTTGGTCAAGCTCTGTGCAGCAGGGAACGCTCAGAAGTCATACACCAGAAACTCATGAAGAACTCTTTGTTGTTCTTTTGAAAAGAGAGTGAGAGTTTGCAGCAACTTGAAAGTGCTTCAGCTTCAAACGGTCTTGTTGAAGAATACTTAAAGGTTTCAGTCCGTCTGATATTTTGGAATTCTGAGAGCACATTGGAAAAGTCATCTTTGTTCAGAAGAGTGTTTGAGAGAAAGATGAAGAGGATATTTGATAGTTCCATATATCCAGAGACCTCATCGTTTTCATACGAATCCATAGTTTATATTGACATTATTTTTTGTGAAAGCAAAGTCAGGCCCAGATTGTATATATATATGCGATTGTTTTGATAGAAATTATTCTTTGAAGTGACAATACATGACATTTGATTAAAAACAATTAGCAGGTTAAGATTTTGGTCTGTGGATTTGTTCCTTTCTCCATCAATGTGTTTTGTAGATCATGCCTAAATATAAAACGTCAACGCCAGACAATAACCGAACTTGAGTATATGATGAAAGAGATTCCATTGGGCGTAAAAGATAAAATAGCTGTGAAAATTTATAGATGGATCACTGAAAGTCATTGATGACACCATGTGTTCAGGAAATCATTGAGAGGTGATGGTTGGTTGGTTGGTTTGTTGTTTAACGCCACACTCAGCAATATTTCCAGCTATATGACGGCAGTCTGTAAATAATTGAGTAGGGACCAGACAATCCAGTGATTGATATCATGAGCATCGATCCACGCAATTGGGATCGATGACATGCATCAACCAAGTCAGTGAGCCTGACCAACCGATCCTGTTAGTCGCCTTTTACGACTAGCATAGTCGCCTTTAACAGCAAGCATGGGCCTACCCCGGATCTTCACAGGTCAAGAGGTGATGGGATTTGGTACAGTACAATATACATGAAGAACAGATGCGCTTAGTCTGTCTTACAGACCCTGATACATTTATATCAACTACAGCCCATGCAAGTCTATAATGTTTGGCAAGTCTAGATTACTGCAGTACTGAAAATGAAGAGAATCACTGGGCTCCCTTTTTATTAGATTTTTATTAAGATAACTGAACAACTGTTTTTTTCTGTACGATATGTTCATTTCAGAGACTATATGTTAGTCTAAGATGGGCTTAGTAATGGTTTCATTGTAGTAGATTTCATTTGATAAATTCAGATTGTCTCGACTTTTTTAATCATATTTGACAAGCAGAGTGCCTCCACAGACACAGATGCAAAAGATATTGAGAGAAGGAAGAAGGAAACGCCAACCCACTTTTCCTCACTCGATTGTAATGTTGGTTTGTAGCTGCAGAACATATGCTCTGTATGGTCACAATGTCACGTCCACACTGGATGGTGAGGTAGTCTGCTGGTTAAGTGTTCACCTTCAAACCCTCACCCGAGTTTGATTCTACCATGGGTCAAATTTGTTATGGCAGTTTTGGATGTCTGACACCATTCTGGTATATTGTCATAAGCATTGTTAAACCTCACTTCAGCTGCCCACTTTCGACAGACACCCACAACGGCACATGGACATGGGCTTATAATGATTTATAACCATAAAACATCAACGCTGGAGAATAACCAGTCTCCATTATTGGACAATACATATTCAATTTGGCAGAAAAGGCAAAATAGCGGTAATAATTGCATGAATAGATCGCTGAAAATCATTGATGCCACCTGGTAAAAGGGTAAGCATGTCTTGTCCCACCGGCAGCAACGCCACCCACACCATTTGCATAAGAAAGAATGCATTTGAGATGTATGTGTTAGAGAAAATGAGAATATCTGGAATTATCTTGAATGTTCCCGAGACTGTTAATGGTTGCTACACTGTCTGCACTGACCCAGGCCTCCGACAAATGGGGAACGAGCTTGTGAGTGTTCCAGGCCGATAGAAATGATAACGTTACATTGTAGGATTAAGATTTATGAGAAATATGACCCAAAGGGATGGTGATTGTGTTGAAAAAAATTTATGTGCAGGCAAAATAAAATCTATAAGATCCTTCACATATTAAATGGCCGTGATGCAGAGGGGAAAGTAGTAGATCAGACAAGATCAGATCCATTCGCCCACAAATCACGATTCTGATTACGCAATCTGAATCAGCATTAAATTCGTAATCGCGGAATCAACAGATTCAGTATCCGTAACCGTATATCGTCCAATGACACTTGGTACCTAACTCACAATCTATTTAGCCCAGTTGAGGGACTAACGTTCAGAGATACTTTTCACAAATGGAGACAATTTTATTGATTCGGAAAAAAGTAATTCTGAAGCAGAGCTTTCAAACCAATTCATAGTCTATTACCTAATTGATCGGATAGAGATACAGTTTTGCAAAGAATGAAAATTGGGGCAAGTGATATTTCAGCAAGTCAGCAGGTCTGCATGTGCCCCTGGTTCGAGACTATACGACTCCTATCTACTTGGCAATGGCATGCTCAACTTCTAGTCAAGATATGTACAAGCATAATGGGTACTAGTTATTATAAGTCTCTTAGGAAGTCAATTTACTATAATTGTGGAGCCTGTTTTCACATATGGGACCTGCACGCTATATTGTATAGAAGTGGCCTGACTTTGCATGTGGGAGAAAATTAGTGTTTGCATGTATCTGCCATCGAGTTGAGTGAAGGCGGTGGACTCGTAATTTCCAGTTAATGTCGCTCATTGTAATAGGTGGTGATTTCTGATGCACTTTTTGCTGCAAATAATAGATGGATTGTCATGGTGAAGCCATTACTGAGATGTGTTCGGATGGCCATTAGTAGCTTTCTGGTAGGGAAGATGAAGTTCTTGCTTCTTGTCTTCAAAATGTCTTTTTGTTCACCAGAGGAAATAAATCAGAATTTGAAGTTGTTTTTCCTTAGAATAATTTACCTATGAGGTGCAAGTGGCACTGATGAAGAAACTGACATGATGAATGAATGATCCTTTTCTTGTAAGTTTTTTCAGAAAGACTAATGGGATAGTGAAATGACATTAAGGATTTAAAAAGTTTTAAACTGTATTTTTACTTATCCTTCACGCCAACATTTGATGGGAGGTGAGAAAAAAATTAAACGAAAAATGGGTACATAAGCATTTAACTAATTAATTGTGATGTTTTGTTTGCTTGAAAGATATAATCCAGTGTTCCTGCAGACAAACATTTCCTATCCCACTACCCCACAGTTAATGAGTCGGTGGAAAACCAAAAACGTGTCATTCCTTCATTTTCTACTGTTCTTGCATTGGTGCAGCTTGAGAACCCAATATTGTTTTATGAGACTGTACAAGCTAACAGGGTACAGTGCTCTCCTTTTGTCGGAGGTCTAGGTTTGATATCAGCTATATTCCATTAGCAGACCATAATCAGCCTATTGGTGTACAATCACAACTATGAGATACGTGACCAGAGTGAGGCATGTGACATGTGAGATATGTGACCGATGTGAGATATGTGACCAGAGTGAGATATGTGACATATGAGGCATGTGACCAGAGTGTGGCATGTGACCAGAGTGAGATATGTGACCGAGTGAGATATGTGACCAGAGTGAGGCATGTGACCAGAGTGAGATATGTGACCAGAGTGAGGCATGTGACCAGAGTGAGATATGTGACCAGAGTGAGATATGTGACCAGAGTGAGGCATGTGACCAGAGTGAGGCATGTGACCAGAGTGAGATATGTGACCAGAGTGAGATATGTGACCAGAGTGAGGCATGTGACCAGAGTGAGATATGTGACCAGAGTGAGGCATGTGACCAGAGTGAGGCATGTGACCAGAGTGAGGCATGTGACCAGAGTGAGATATGTGACATATGAGGCATGTGACCAGAGTGAGATATGTGACCAGAGTGAGGCATGTGACCAGAGTGAGATATGTGACATATGAGGCATGTGACCAGAGTGAGATATGTGACATGTGAGGCATGTGACCAGAGTGAGATATGTGACATATGAGGCATGTGACCAGAGTGAGATATGTGACCAGAGTGAGGCATGTGACCAGAGTGAGGCATGTGAGATATGTGACATGTTAGGCATTTCAAGCAGCAGGGATTAAGAGTGTGGCATAGTGTCTTGGATTTGATAACAACCTTTGTTGTTTTGTGTTATTGGAGAACATTGTGTGTTAGTGCACAGAAACATGGCCCTGTCTTGATGCTAGCGGACCGGGCCCCGTTCCACAAAGCAATATTACCGCTAAGATGATCGTAACTTGCATACTTTAACATTGACTTGCGACAATCATAGCACCAAGATCGCTCTGTGGAACGGACCCCTGGTCATCACCTGGCAGTCAAGGTCTATATAAGCTCGGCTGATTAACTCAAGTTTGATCAGGCTCAACATGCTCATGTAGGTCACTAGTATAGGTCACTGGTGTAGGTCACTAGTACAGGTCAGCAGTAGGGGTCATGAGTGTAGGTCATCAGTGGGGGTCATAAGTGAAGGTCACCAGTAGGGGTCATGAGTGTAGGTCACCAGTAGGGGTCATGAGTGTAGGTCACCAGTATAGGTCACCAGCAGGGGTCACTAGT